CCTTCTATAATTTGTGCTCTTTATTTGGAGGACAGAAGGAATTTTGAGGTCAAGGCAGATGACTGTAGCAAAACTTGATAGTGTTGTCCAAAATTCAGTGCCAATTCAGTCCACCATACAAGTATGAAGTCACCTGCTACTATGCTTCTGAAATAAGATTATTACTGTTACTTCCCACCTCAAAAATACCCTAGATGTCACCAGAGACATCTAGCTATCAACAGTGATGCTCCCTTACCAAGAGCATCAGGTAGTTATTGTTGCCCAGCTGCACCTCAGCAAGTATCTCAGAGAAGCATTTCTGTCATGCAATTCTAGGGATTGGGGAAAGAGCAAAATCCTGGATTTTATCTTTGTGCTGAGATAGCAAATTTATTGCAGGTACATTGAAGTTTTCAAACCCTGTCAAGGATCTTTTCTTAGATTTAAGAAAGATTTTTATCACTGATTTCATTACTTATAGAAACTTTGCTAGTCACTGACATGGAAAAAGAAGCATAAAATCCTATGTTGATGCCCAGTATCAGCAGTCCATACTTCTGTGTACTAAAGCTTAGGTGAAAAATGAGTAGGGACTGCAAAACCAAATCAATATCAAATATAACAATAAATATCTCAAATTCTCACTGACAGGTCAAGCTACTATTTCAGATCCAAGAGCTGGCAGTGTATCAAGAAGGTGTGTTCATGTGGATCAATTTTGAGTGAGATGTCCAAAACAAAGATTCCCATCTGTGTAGGCCTTTAATATTATTTGGTGTAGATAATGTATCTTGACATAACAGCTTTGATTAGCTTTGAGGGTTTTTTTAAGTATATATACATTACACACATACACATATGTATGTACACACTAGACTTCCTCCAACTCAAGATGCAAGGTCAGATCTTTCCAAGACTGGGAATACACTCTCCAGGGCAGTTCCAAGAAGGGGCAGCTTACAAATAATTAGCAGAAAGCATGAACATCTCTGTAGCTGGTATGATGCTAATACATTCAAGGTTGAGAGCTAGACAGTCAAAATATTATCTTGCTTTCTATCAAGAGAGCTGCTGATCAGAAAGAACTGTAATTCTCTTACATTATAGGTCCAGAGCAAGAAGAGGTGAAAATACAGGCTTGTTTATTTTGTGAAGAAGGTTTATATATTGTACTGCAGTGTCAATACCTGCAAAACAGGTTCAGCAAGATCTGACCCAGTCCTTAATTTGCTAAAACTTTGTTCATATCAGTGCACAGGATGGTACCTTGCTGGGTGCTTGTGTCACACTGACCTAATCAGGATAGAAACTTTTCCAAAGAAATAATAGATAAAAAAACGATTCTCCACAGATGGAGCACAGAGAAAACACTATTAAAGATCAGCATCTTTTAATTCAGCAGACACTGTTTACATAAAGATAACACAGTGACAGTAAAAGATAATCAAGATATGCAAATTCTTACAGCTTAACTGAACTGTACATAGAACAACAGAGTAAGATTTAAATAAGGAATATGTAAGAAAGTATACTTTGTGGCTTAATGCTCCAAGAACAAATTGCTGGTCAATTACTACCTAGTCAAATGTAATCAGCAGCACACAGAAATAAAAAAATGCTTTTGCATACCTGTAATGTCTTCCAGTTTTTCCTGAAATGATTTGTCCTTCTGATATTTTTGGTCAAATCAAGGGCTTATAGTCTTTCCAGCATGCACTGATTACTGTTTGTACAGAAGACTGTGCTAAGTGCAGTCTCTGATTAATGAAGTGGACTGACAGTAATTTCTGATATATTTAGAACAAGTCTAAGATGCATTTTCTTCATTGCAAATAAGACCTCCCCACAGAAAAAACTCAACATTTTGTTTAGATAGTAAGAAAGTATTCTAATTTTTCTCATATTCAGTTGTGTGTATATATATATGTCTATTGTTCCACTATGATCATTTAAAGTAGTTCAAAACCATGCTTCCCGTGTTAATTGCAAACCTTATTCAATAAAAATATTAGACAACAATTTTAACCTCGAGTTCATGATTTCTTAAACCTAGAATCTATGGCTTATGCTGAAAACAAGTTCTCATACAAAACAGGTTAATGAGATTTGAATCGATTGTTTTCAACGCATATGAGCTAGGAACTAGCTACATAGTGAGGGGGAATAAAAAGATTTTGAAGTATTAAGGAATAATGAATCATACCTCTTTATTAGTCATCCTAATGAATACCTGCAAATTATTCCACTATAAAGTTATTCTAACTAATTGGAGAACACAGACATATGTCAGTAACTAGGACAATTGAACAGTTTACTGTCAAGCAATTCTAGTAATTATTTAAATTGGTGATTAGTTATCACATCAGCTGAGATATTTCTGTGTTTCTTTAAGTTCCAGTATGGGAATTTACTGTGTACAATTATATTACTGAGAAATATCCGTACAGTAAATGAATATGCAGATCTCTTTATTTAGCAACCATAATGCATCTATATTTACCAGCTCCTGTGTTTACACTGTTGATGATGTTTGCAGAATGCCATTAGCCTTCTAATTTGTTTTCTAGTAAAAAAATGAAATTACAAGAAATGAGTGAGATTGAACTACTAAAAAATAGCAGTATTAGAAGAGTTTTGTAGCATTCTTAGCACAATGAGATTACAGTCCACAACTATGGCTCCCAGCAATGCTTCTTAAAAACTGTAAATTTGATTTCTGAAATAAAGATAGCAAGAAAAATACTAAAATCCCTTTTAAATGCTTTTTCCCTGTAATTTTCTTCTGAAACCATTTTTGTAGTCTTGTGCTTCTTTTTTTGTTGTTGCTACAAGCTATAGACAAGGCACAGATAGTAATTTAAAGCTTATTAGCAAAATTACATAACTTCATCCTATGACCATTTCTTGCTGTACTTAAACTGCACATATGTTTGAGCATAGGTCATACCTTTTTTTAGAAACTTTTGACATAGTTTTTAATGTAAGCATAGTTGGTCAAAGTTCTAATGTATTTTTAATAAGCCTTTATTATTGCACATGCTAATGACAGCAACAGCCTAGTGCATTTCAGGCTAGGATACCCCACAGATAAGGCTATTTTAAAAGACACAGCCTTTCTTTTTGTTTAAGGAGAAACAGCAGTCTACCAGAGGAGTAGGCCTTCCTTCAAACAGCCAGAGAAAATGCTTAATAAACCTACAGTTTCCATCTTGCAGAAGGAAACTGAAATATACAGAACAACTCAGAAAAAGCATAGCATAATTCAGGATGAAGTATTCAATGCACCATATTAATCATGTAGAGAGTCCCCTGTAGCAATTACAAAGCAAACAGTAAGATATTTAGCTTAAGGAAATAAAAAACATGGTCCAAGAATAAAGAAGGAAAGATAATAAATTGGATGGAGTAAAGAAAAAGAAATGCAAATCTAGCAAACAGTTACAAGAGAACAAAAATTTAAACTTGGGTTCTTCAAATGTTCCCACACATTCCTGACTTGCTGTGCCCAAAAGAGGTACTAGAATAAACACAAAGAACAGCTCTCAAAGTGGAATAAAGAGGTAAGACACAGGGGGTAACTGTACCCCACTCCAGAGCCAACCACACAACTCTCCATGGGCACAGAAGCAGTAGCTCCCATGTTAAAATGTTCAGTTCACTGGCGGTCACTTCTGTAGAATCACTGCCAAGTATTCCACACCCCCTCAAAGGAAGAAAGTTTCCAGCTATAGAAAGCCCAGGTACAGCAATATGGCTTGTCTAATGCAACAAGAGATGGTGCAGTTGGGGACACTTCACACCTATTCCAAATTTTGTAAAAGACAGAGAATCCAATGATAACAGACAGTCTCATAGCTCAGACCTCCTTAAGCAAAACAAAAGAAACTTCAGTTTTAAACCTTGAAAAGAAGCTACACTCACAGGCAATAAAATTCCTCTAGATAACACAGTGAAGAAAACACAGCATTCCAGTAATTCAGGAAGAATTCTGTTTCACTGATATTCTCAACCAAGCAATGTTTTAAAAGCATCTATTTTTTCCCCAGAAAAGCAGTATCTATCCAGACAGATAATTTTTGACTGGCTGTCAAGAAAAAGAAAATAGACCAATTTGCATTAGAAAACACTAAGAAACAATTCTCAGATAAAAGCAAAATGTTTACAAACTTTCCAAGGAAAGTTTTAAAATATGTTGATAATAGAAGTATTAAAATACTGATTTTCCACTGATTCATCCCTGAATGGACACTGGCTCACTAAATTAAAATAATTTTCAGCTATAATTGGTGATTTGAATCTTCATCTGTGGGACTTATAAAAGACTGTTTCAGCAGAACACTACAGTTAGATGGATGAAGGTCAAACATAAATATAAATTTCCCACTGTCCAAGTCAGATTTCTGAGAAAAGCATAGAGAACAAAATAGGTACATGCAATTCCCAGCATCCAACAGAATTATTTCTGAAAGTACTCTATCATTTTCCTAAATGTGATTTCCACTACATCAGAGCCAAAGTGAACAAACAGTACAACTGAACACTGAATTAATCCATTAAAAAGGTCTGGGCTTCAAACATCCACATTGCTGAGAAAATTATTTCAATAACAATCTGTGCCTCACATCTCGAACTGCAACACTCGTTTGACAGAGGAATAAGCAGCAGCATAAAGAAAATGGGAGACATTCTCCCCTACAACAGAGTTCCTTTTCTTTCCATTTTTCCATTTTTCTTCTGTTGAAGGAATAGCACATCTTTGTCACTATATATATAAACACAAGATTTGCAAAATAACCACGCCACTGAATCCATGGCCACTATTCCCCTGATAAATAGAAAAAGCTGGGCTCTTCAGGATTGTGTCTCAGAAACCCAAGACTGACACTTTCCTTTTCCTGGAAGGAGAGAGTCATCTGTCTGCATCTTGAAGAAAAAGTAGATCCTCACCAGTTCCTTTATGGAGTGTTACTTGGTATTAAAGGCAGGTTAGAAAACATATAAAAAATTGAAGCAATTACCTCTCCTATAAAGACAACCATAACACAATCCAGTTTTTCTTCAGGGGACAGCTTATCAATAAGGGAGTGGAGAGTTTCTGTAAGGTAAGACTTGACTTTTCTTTTCACTGTAGGTATTCCCATTACAATGGAAACTGAAATCAAACAAACCAGAAAGGTACTTTCAGTGATGGCATACACAAGATAGAAAACAAAAATCTTGCAATGAGGCATTGCTTTACAAATGCAAAGGATTAAAAGGTGGAGATAACAGTAATTTAAAATAGTTTAAAATTATGCTACCCAACATCATGAGCATGACTAACAGTTAACACCAATGCTCAGAACAAACAAGCAGACATAAAAACCCCAGTCCTAGACATGCCAGACTAATGTGTAGGTGTGGTACACTGATCCTGACTGGACACCAGGTACCCACCAAAGCTGCCCTATCACTCAACTCCTCAGCTGGACAGAGAGGAGAAAATGTAAAGTGGATAGAAGTAAGACCAGGGAGAGATCACTCTCCAATTACTGTCACAGTCAAATCAGACTTGAGGAAGTTAATTAATTCCATTCAAATGGACATAAGGTAATGAGAAATAAACAAATATTAAAATACCTTTCCCTCACCCTTCCCTTCATTCTAGCCTCAACTTCACAGATCATTTCTCTACCTCCTCCCTACCAGAAGCACAGGGGCATGGGTAATGAAGGCTGGAATTCAGCTCATCACATCTCCACCACATTTTTTTCTTCAGTGGAAGGACTCCTCAGACTCTTGCCCTGATCCAGCACAGGGTCCCCCCAACATGGCAGATGGTCCTCCATGAACATCTACAATGTAAGCCCTTCCCACTTCCCACTCCAGGCTGCAGTCCTTCAGGAACAGGCTACTCCAGCATGGGTCCATCACAGAGTTACAAGTCCTGCCACCAAACCTGCTCCACTGTGGGCTCCTCTCTCCATGGATCCTTCCAGGAGCCTGCTCCCATGTGTGCTTCCCATGGAGTCACAGCCTCCTTTGGGCATCCACCTGCTGTGACATGAGGCTGCAGGTAGATACCTGCTCCATGGGCTGCAAGGACACAGCTGCCTCTCCATGCTCTTCACCATGGGCTGCAGGGGACTCTCTGCCCTGACACCTGGAGCACTTCCTCCCCCTCCTTCTGCACTGACCTTGTATGTTCTCACTCCTCTGTCCAGCTGCAATTGCCCTTGAGCAGTTTTTCTCCCCCTGCTCTTCAGTCTGTTTTTCCAGTGTTGCTGGTCTGGCTATTGGTTCCACTGGACATAGGGAAAGCTGCTGTCACTCTCTCAGAAAAGCCATCCCTGTAGCCTCCCTGTTACCAAAACATTGTCACACCAACCCCAATACAAGGGGAAATAGTCAACAACCACGGTATTATTCAGACAAGGTACACCAAGAATGATTAAACTCCCTAACTTAAGAATTCTTAAAATTCTTAATAATTAATTAATAATAGTAATTAATTAATAATAATTAATTCTTAAGAACTTAAGAACTTTCTTATACTCCCTAGTATAAGAATTCTTCAAAATTCGAGTATTTAATTTCTCAGAAGTCATCTTTTAAGATAATACTGCTGAAAGCCTCTATTACTTTCCTTGCATCTGGTTTTGGTTCTTCTAATAAAACAAGTCCAAGACAACAGAACTGGATGGAAGTTCCTCAATGAAATTCCTTATCTCTAACAAATGCAAAGCAATATATCCCCAGCTACAATCTTATTTAACACCATCTTTCAGAAGGCCATCTGAGTCCTGTGTTGCTTAACTTTTCCACAGTTTTTCTTCTGTACTGTAACCGGGACTGGCTACCTACTGGGAACACTGCAGATAGCAGCCGGACTGGAGTGAAAGATTTCATAAAGCCCTGAAATCCTGAATTCCCTCCCTCTGTTTAATTAAATAAACTTGGTTCCAATTCCTATTCTGTAATTCCAAATTTCTGCCATATATTCCCAGGGGGACATAACACAGACTTCACTTAAAACAATAACGAATTATTAGAGTTTTCCTCCCTGAACAACAACATTGAAATGGAAGGTATTTATAGTCAGAAAAATAAACCTGTGGCCTGAGTCCACACATTTGTCATACAGGCATGCCTTCTGTTAAAAGAAGAAGCAATCAAACTTACTGAAGTAATGAAAAAATGCAAGCCAGGAGTAACTACAAAACTGAATTTATTTTCCCCTTCAATGACTGTCCAGATTTTATTGATGCAATTATATCTGATTATCTCAGCTTTTAATTTATACATTGAAATATACTGTTCGGAACAACAGAAACATCAAAGCTACAATAATTATAACCATGCATGGTTGCCCCACAGATCTGAAAAGCCAAAGGGATATATCCATTAGCAGCTCAGAATCTGAAATGCTTGAGCTTTGTTTCCTTTTAGCTACAAAAAAATTCATCAAAACTAAATGCTTCTTAATGTGCACCTTAACGTGACATGGGGTGTGACTGAGATTATGCAGAAAAGAGCAAAGCTGAAACCAAGCTCCTTTCATCTCGGATTCAGTGTGAATTCAAAGGATATCAGTATCACACAAGTTAAATGAGATGTCCTTGATCTACCAAGAAATACAGTAAATTCTTTTTCTAAAACTAGAAGGTCCTCCAGATACAAAACATGAAATAACCACCATATCAGCATACCTCCTGTCCTTCCAAGGCCAACCTGCACAGAAGGTTGAAGGCTTCCTTCATTTTTCAACAAATGAGGCAAATGGTAATAGATATTTGGCACTTGAAGAGATTTTCTACTTGTTAGCTCTTTTAACAATTTCAGCGTCTCATCTGCAAACATACAGGAAATCAGTAATGCAGAAAACAAACAATATGAAGTCTTAAGCAGTTGCAAACAGTACAAAAGGCTTGGTCTTAACTGAAAGACAGAATAAATTGTGCACTTTTCTGAGTCATTGTATCTCGTCTATAAAGGAAGCCTTTCCTTATTTCTATATTTTTAATAAACAATGGCCAAGACTATTTTTCACCTATAACCTTGTTACAGATACAGTTAATATTTACCTGATCACATAAGATTTACTGTGAATTTACAGAAGAATGTTCCATTTATTGGGGGGTTGGTGGTTTTGTTGGGGTTTTTTCCCAATTAATCAAATGGGAGGCTTATTTCCCTAGATAATTTTTCACTTTTGCTTACAGAGGTCATCACTATCCAGCAAACACTACTGCAAATAACTTTTCAGAGCTATGAATACATATCAGAATAGACTGCACATAAAGATGCAAAATAAAATAGCATTAAACATACAGTTGATATTCTGAGTATTCCTGAAAAAAAAAATAATGCAAATTTAATTTAGTCCATTATAATAGAATTATCCTATTAGATTCCATTAGAAGCATTCTTGCTCTTTCTGGTGCAACTGCCTTTCAGTATGTCCAGGTGGCTCTCAAAGTTGAAAATAACAGTTTGTAAAATTACCCTGCTGTGTGTGTTGGTTTCCTTGCATCAAGTGTGAGAACAACTCATTTCAAATGACAAATATGATAGCATATGGATCTTTGAAAACTTACAGGCTTTATAATATCAAGTTAAGTAAAAACTGTAGTCAAAGTTTCTTGAGATAAAATTGAGAGTTAAGAAAAAGAAAGCCCTAAGTGTAATTTCTCACAGATTCTGAACAGAGCTTCTACAGAGATAGATGGGTTTTGTTATGGATTTTGGTTCTGTATGTTTAGGGGTTTTTAAAACGGGATTTTTTAGGTGAAACTAAATTCCTAATCATCTCAAACCTTGCAAAAAGCTTTGTAAATAGATGCCATAAGTAGATACGTCTATTTTGATAGACTCCAATACAGACACATTTTACTTTTCCTGCTAACATTTCTTTAACTTCATCTGCAAAACCTGAACTAAATTCTGTCCAAGTATGACAGCTCTTTGAATGAATAAGGATCTACAAAACAATCTGGAATTCTTTCAGCTTCAAAGAGAGCAAATAGGTTTTCATTAAGCTTAATACATTTAAGTATTCATAATACTATCTAATACTATGTTCTCAGCACAAAAGCTCAGTAATTCAGCTGGCTTCCCATTATGGCTCTACATGGAAAAATGTGGATGTCCATCCCAGCTGGGATCTAGACACGGTAGAATGTTAAATGAATTAGTACTTTCAGCTGCATCAGACGAAAATAACTCCTTATATTACCTAAAAGCAAGCTAAGCCAGTTTTAATAAAAAATGTGTAATAACTTAATCCTAAATCCAGAATCAAAATTATTTTATCTCCTCCATGCTTTACTTTAAAAGCAGAACCACACACATGAAATAGGAAGATTTATAGACCAAGCTAAATGTAACCTCTGTGTGTGCAGTTCCTGGAGTTCCAGGGAACTACTGAGATCAGGCCATTAGTGTCAGACAGCAATTCATGAGTGGCATCAGCACTAGAGCCTATAATTATAACCACTTCCCAAAAAAAAACCCAACCCAAAAACAACAACAACAAAAAAACCACAAAACAAAAAGCCAAAAAAAAAAACATAGCACAAATGCAACTGGACAAAAAATTCACAAATCTTGTTCCAGGTTTTTGAATTGCAAAACAAAAAATTCACAAATCTTGTTCCAGGTTTTTGAATTGCAAAACCCTTCAGGTTTCAACTCCTTATTAGACCAATACAGTGAATTTTCTGCAACCTACCAAGTCAGACCTCTACAGGTAAACACAGAATTTGTATTTATTTGTTATTCATTTTCCATCCACAAAAATCAGAGCAATGAAACCGTAACAGTGTGATTTTAGAAGTTAACATCAATAGTCAGGTGAATATTGCAGTGTTTTTCTCTAATACTGCCAAACAGCTTTTTATAAACCTGACATCCATCTCCAAAATGGGTAAAAACTTACGGAAGATTTTACTAGTTTAATCACTAGTTATTGAAAAGGCCATTTCCCATACTTTTTTACAAATCGTAACCAACACTTCAGTCCATATGATTTAATTCCTTCCAGTTGACTTTTAAGCATATTTTAACTGCTTCAAGTTCATCCATTTCTACTGTTTGCTCACTTTTCCTCTCTAACTCTATTTAAAAAGTGATGTAAATTAATTGTCAAAATATATTCAGTGTAATAAATAAGTAACCAGAAGTTCCAAACTTCAGGAGCTAGGCGTGGAGTAAGTAATTCTTATGACTTTAGGGACTGAATAAGGGTGGGTAAACCATTAAGAACAACAACCGGAAAAAACAAACCAAAACCACCCACACCAGATACAATATATTACACATTTTTTATTCACACTGCTGAACAGTTTCATTTGGCTTTCCTGGTACCAATTTCTTGAGTTTACTATAGTAGTCAGAAGCGATATTGGTATTGCTGAGTTACAAAAAATATCTCAGAGTGTGTACCTGAAAAATTATTCATTGCATTCTTACTGCTGTTTGTTTCTGCCACGGCCCTCCTGAACTGCTCCAGGATGGCGTTGAGCTCGGAAGAGCGCTGCAGAGTGCGGTGCTCGGCGATGCGCAGACGTTCCTTCAAAGCGTGAAACTCCCGCTGATAGGCAATCAACTTTTCTAGGGAGAAAAAACACAATCCCAGTTATTTGCAGAAACAAGCCCCTGCTGACAGGTCCGACAAGATCTAACGCTGCTCGGCTTTGCAGCACCTGGAAGGCAGAGCCTGGCACAGCCCCACCTGAGGAGCTGGGTGCCTCAGCACCTACACAGCGCAGGAGGGGGGAGCGAGCTGCACCACACCAGGATGCAGGGCAGGCAGTGAGGGGGATGCCCCTCACCACAGCACAGACCAGGCTAACCCTGAGTACCCAGCACCAGGCAGTTCTGAGCCATTCCTTGGAACAGATGCCCACAAAACATTTCTTTTAAGAAGCCAAACAGGAGTGGCCCCTTACAAAAGCACAGGTTACATCTTCTGAAAGACCCCTCTCAATACTTTGTAAGGATGAGTACTTGACAGTACTTCAGACAGATCAATTTTAAACCCAAGTTTTAACTTAATATTATGGTCAGTGCCTGAGAACTGGAGAACAAAATTTTTTATCAAAATTCTGCTGATGTTGATTCATACACATACTCTTGAAAGGGGACCAAAAGGGAGATGGAAACACCAAAACTGATTTGCTGATCTATTCCCTTTGCCCTTGACACCCAGTAAAGTAAGTGGGCCTGGATTTTGTATCCTTCCTTCTTCCTATTGGCAATTTCCTCAAATCTTCTGCTCACCATCATCACTATCACCCTCCTTCTACCAATACAAAGATATTGACTGGAGTATTTTAAGTGAATTTGTAACTCATAATCAATATTCCAGTCACTCAGTTGACATCCACAGACATCTCTCTTTTGTTATTTACCTATCCATTCCTAGTCTTTTTATATTGCAATGGTCTGAAAGCAGAAGTTTAGCAAGCAATTTGAAACTCTTCCTGTTGCTATATTACATAAGACATGGGGCAAAAAAGGAATTAGAGTCAACTTCCCTTGTTAATAAGGCTACTTTTCCTCCAAATTCTTTCAATTTACATTTATTCTCTTTTTCTTTTTTTTTTTTCTGTTGATAGATGGGATGTACTGCTTCAATTATGTTCAGAAAAGTTAATTGACTAAAATGCCCTCTGTTTTGAAGACAGAAAAATAAAACCATAGTTCACTACCTCTTAAAAACATTTCCCTTGCCAGCTTTATTTTGCTTCTTTCATCAAAACCAAATGGTTATTGCTTTTGTGCCAACAAACCCAGAACACAGATGCTGGCCCACAACACAGTGCTAGGCACACTACACACTGCTGACTGAATCCAGGCTGCTATTTGAAATAGGAATTGATGCTTTAGTCAGCAGCACTTAGAAGACTGGGAAAAATTTTTGGAGTTTCTGGCATGAAGGCCATTCTTATTTGCCAATGAAAACTAACAAAGTAGTTCAGTCCTGATGCTTCCAGTGAACTGTACTGGTATTGCATTCATGGTACTTGAGACCTCAAAAGCATTAATTCCTTTAAGAAATACTAGATGAGTAGTCAACTTCTCACAGTTCCCTCAAGCAGACATATCTAGGTTAAGGAGGTTGCTCTAAAAGATACATAAACTCCTGGCACCTATCCTTCACAAACACATGTTGGTTTCTTTTTTCCATTAGGCACAATATTATTCAGTCAAATATAAGAAAAAAATTCTAAGATTACAAATACAATAAGATTTTAAGTCTACTATCCTAGAGTATTTTTCTAGTTATTTATGCAAAACAACACAAAAAAAATAATTCTTCGCTTATGTGAACTTAAGTGACGTAAAACATTTACATCTCTAACACTACTAGAGCTAGCACTTGTCATATTTTTGGAGATTAAGGTGTAATTTGGCATTTTGGTGGCTGCCTGTACTTTTAAATGAAACAAATTAAATTTAAATGTTTAACACTTATATCTTTAGCTTACTTTCAGTACTTCAAACATCAACTGCTCAGGTATTTATTACTTACAAACAAACACAACAAATTTTATCACATACTGAAAGGCAAAGGAGAAAGGACTCTTACAGTACCACCATTAGCAGTGACCACATGTTCCAGACTTTAGAAAAGCATCCCTTAAGCCATCAGCAGTTCATAAATATTCTAATTTGACTTTTCAGAGTTTCTGAGTACTTGAGAATGAGCCTACAAGATAAAATTTAAGAATCTATTTTTATTTGAACTTTGACTGAGCTCAAGCTTGGTAGAGAAGGTCCTATTTAACTGATTTGGTATCATTCTATGATAAAATCACCCTCCCCACGGATGAAGGCAAAATGATGGAAAGACAGTGGTTGGTGCAATCTCACCTGGAGTGCTGTGTGCAGTTCTGGGCCCCACAGTTTAAAAAGGATGTGGAGTTCTATAAATACATCCAGAGGAGAGCAACACAGGGCTGGTGAGAGGGCTGGAAGATCCGTCCTGTGGGGAACGGCTGGGGACTTTGGGTTGGTCTAGTTTGGAGCAAATGAGGTTGGAGGGGTGAGCTCATTGTTCTGTGCAGTTTCCCGAGTGGGGCAGATTGGAGATGGATGCGTTAAGCTCTTCTCCCTGGTGTTTAGTGATAGGACACATGGCAATGGTCCTAAGCTGTGCCAAGGGATGTTCAGATTGGACATTAGAAAGCATTTCATTACTGAGACATAGGTAAAACACTGGAACAGGCTTTGTAGAGCGCATAAAGTATTTAGGAAGCATCTGGACAATGCCCTTAATAATATGCTTTAGCTTTTGGTAAGCCCTGAAGTGGTCAGGCAGTTGGACTAAATGATTTTTGGTAGGCTCCTTACAATTATCTTCCTTACAGAGATACCCTGTTCTATGACAAGCTGACTTGTAAGCATTGTATATACAAAAAAGTTAGTAGTGCACCTGATACTTTCAAGATACATTTGACCATTTAGTGTTTTATTATTCAGAGATTTCCCTGAATTGATTTCTTGTCCAGAAGTATGAAAACACTTTTTTTGATTGTTATTACAGTAAAAAGGAGAGTACTGAGCCTAAAAGTACAGACAAAACAGACGTCAGTGATCACCATCAGTAAAAAATTATTCTTTTTCTATAGGATTATGAATTCTGTTCTTACTCTCATGCTCTCATTTCATACTCTCAGAAATATAGTTATTTAAGAAAACAGAATAAGGCATTCAGACAGTAAGTTATTGGCCTTACAACACTGATGAAAGAACACCAAACATATCCTGCCTATTTTCTGACAAACAAAACATCCCTCTAACAGCAGCTGTAGCCAGTATTGAAGACATTTGGTCTCCAAAAATTTCAGCATATGAGCATATATTTATTTAAGAAAAATGTACTGTTTTACATTGAAATGAGAAGATTTTCCACAGTTTTCTCTGGAAGCTAGAAAGATCAAATAAAATAAATACCTTGTTAAGAAATTACTTGAGAACTGAAAGCATTAATTCTCCATCATTTTTCTCTTAAATTCTAGCTGGTTCAGCAAAACTCCAGGAGCTAAAGCCTAAATACTTTAGCTGGCCAGATGCTGTGCAGTTCTCCCAGCACTATGGCAACTTAAACCGGTACTTTATCAACCTTTTTCCTTTGTTGCCATACATTCTCTTAAATATGCAGAACCTAGAGTTTAGACAAGCTCTCTTGAAAGTTGATGCAGTATTTTGAAAAGCGAAAATTCAAATGAAACTCTGGTGGTTTGCCAGTTTTTTACCAGAGATGAAATCTCAGCTCTCAGCCTCCTCTGCATTATTTATGGTTCTCCTACTAAATAAGTGTTAAAAAAACAAAGTTATTCCAAAAGGACACCACTAACCCAAAATTACAAACTTAGTCCACTCTCCTCTTAGCCATAGATAATCTTGACTACATAACTTGCTTAAGAGTTGTCTAAATTTGAAGAAAAATTCCAAGTTTTAAAACATGGAGTTTCTGAACATTTTAGCATGCACCTAATTTCTTAGTTTGGGCTTTTGTATTTTTTGAGAAATCTGTTTATGTACTTCAATCCTTGCTTTTTGTAACAGCAAAGAGCTTTCCCTTGAGATAAAAAGGGACATCAAAGTAAAGGAATATGAAAATAGGCTGTAGTTTGAGTTTAGAAAAGCATTTTGCAGAGTATTTCAGCTCAACTGAAATAGCATAAATCTGAATTGCAGGTAAATAGCCAACACTGTCAGAATACTTGCTGTATTCTAATTCCAAATTAAATATCTACTGAACAACAAAACAGAAAAAATACTGTGGAAACTCAATCAAAGCAATTTTAAGGCTATAGAGATTCAAAGTCAATAAAAATCATCAACAGTTTTGTTTTTTGTTCATGTTACTTTTTCAGCAAAGTTAGATTTTTTAATGCCACAAGCCTGTCAGAGTTTAAGAGACATTTGGACATTGACCTTAGCAAATGTTTTAGCATTTGGTCTGCCCTGGTCAGGCAGCTGCACTAGATGACTGCTGTAGTTCGCCCTTCCACTGAAATAGTCTATTCTATCCTAACATGCAAACATTATGAAGAAACTATTTGAGTGCACTTGTAAACTGAGTGAAATACACACTTGTAAAAGGAAACAGAATTGCCTGAACACCTTTTCACAACCCAAGAATGTTTCAGCAATTCTCAGTATTGCCAATATTCATCAAGGAAAGCCTTGACTGTCTGCTAAAATAACTACAGCCTACAACATAAAAAGCAGTATGGAAGCTTTGCAAGATGTTATTTATCTTATCAATCACCCAAACATACTAAATCACAGGCCATTTTCATAACTGAAAATTGAACATGTTGAACTAAGAATGTTGGACTAAGGTGGCTGCATTCACATAAATAAATAATTAAATAAATAAAAAAAATGCTATAATTTACTCAAGAGCTCTTTGTTAGTATGGCTGGTTGTCCCAAAGGCAGATGCATCAGACAAGATGAGGAGAAGCTTTATGACCTTCCCATATCACAAGTGGGCAGTTGAGCTTTCCTTCAAACCAGCTAAACACCCAAAGTGATGGATCTGGCACACAGACAAAAAGGTAACCAGCCATAGACTTGGCACTCAAAAAAGACAGC